AGTTGGAAGATGTCAAAAGTAGTACCGTTGCTAAACCCAGGGAAGAGCCCTATGCAGTTGAACTCGTTCAGGCCGGTTAGTTTGACAAGTTGTTTTTCAAAAGTGATGGAAAAAATGATCAGTGAACGAATTTTATGGTGGCAAGACATAAAAAACCTACTACCAGAAAGCATAGCCGGCTTCAGAAGAAGTAGATGCACAATAGACTGCATTCTGGGTTTGGTCACAGATGTGAAAAACCAACGAACGCAAGGAAACATCACTGTCGCTGTATTCCTTGATGTCCACCGAGCATACGACACAGTGGGTCACGTTTACGTTCTGGAAGGCCTGGCATTACAGGGATTCAAGGGCAAGATACTGCGTTGGATCGCTGACTTCCTGAAGCAGCGGAAAATTTTTGTAGTTACGCAGGAGGGACCAACGTCAGAACATGTCGTCAACCAAGGAGTGCCACAGGGCAGCGTACTAAGCCCTACTCTCTTTAATGCAGTCATGGCGCAGCTCCCGTATAATCTTTCACCTAACATCAGATGTTCAGTATATGCTGATGATATAAGTATATGGACGTCTGGTCTATCGTTTTTATATGCACAACAAACTCTACAAGAAGGATTGGATTATGTAGACCGTTTTCTAAAAAAAAGGTATGGTACAGAGTCTGGCTAAAACAGCCATACTTCCGTTTGCATTAAAAAGACCTGGAAATTTCCAGATTATTCTGCATAATCAGCCTATTCAAATGGTCAAAACTCATAAATTTCCGGGACTAATTTTACACCGGAGACTAACATGGTCGCCTCATGTCCAGTCCCTGGAACAAAAAGGGAATCAGGCCATTCAAATCCTCCGGCATCTCTGCGGAGCCAAATGGGGTGGTACTACAGAGTAGTTATTAGCCCTACATGTTGCCTGGATACGCCCCATCGTAACTTACTCACTGCCTCTGCTGCACGGACTCCGAGCCTCCACCGAAAGGAGACTTCACTTGTTATTGGCAAGGAGCTTGAGGGTATGTCTGGGTTTACTACGGTCAACTTCCAGTGCTTTAGTGTATGCGGAGGCTCGAGAGCCACCTTTGATTGATTGATATGTGGGGTTTAACATCCCAAAACCACCATATGATTATGAGAGACGCCGTAGTGGGGGGCTCCGGAAATTTTGACTATCTGGGGTTCTTTTACGTGCGCCCAAATCTGAGCACACGGGCCTAGCCACCTTTGGCAGTACTCTGAACAAAAGAAACATCTCGAAAATTATTTAGAATTTTCACGCAGCATGAAAGTCATTTTTATCTGTTGCAATACCAAAAGAACGCAACGAGACTACAGGATACTATATCATCATTTCAAGTAAAAGTACCAGAATTTAAACAATGGAAACCTTCAAAACCACCATGGACGCTGCCACTTCTCAACGTTATCCGTGAAATAGACGGCATATAGAAGAAAGCAGACATGGCACCTCTAGTAGCGGCACAGTTGGTACTTCATCAGCTTCATGTAATGCATAATGAAAAAACGAAGATATATACAGACGGATTATGCACAGAAGAAGCGTCAGCCTGTGCGGTCTTTATACCCTAAATTCAGAAAAAAAGATGTACAAATTATCGCACAAATCTTCATCGACAACAGCAGAATTGATGGCTATCTTTGAAGCAGTTAAGCTTATCTGCGAGAATCCCGAGCAACGAAAATGGGTGATATGCACTGATAGCAAACCTGCTCTTCAGCTAATCAGAAATGTGAGATCACCTTACAAAATTGGTGAAATAGCACAGTGTATCGCAGAAATTGTGGAATATGCCTCATCGCAGGGTCACAACATCGTATTCCAATTGATACCCAGCCACATTGGAATAAAGAGAAATGAAGATGCTGATGGTCTCGCCAAGAAAGCATTGAAGGAAGGACGGCATTGCACAATCCCTATGTCTGAGGCGGATATTCGACATTTTATATCGCAAGGAGCTAACCATTGTTCGATGGAGAAGTGGTTTGAGAGCCCTAAATCAAAGGAAGCGATACTTTATGAAGTTTATTCACACAGAAAATTTTCCATAGCGACAGACCTCCCACGACACCTAGAGACATTGATCCACAGACTTAGATTGGAAGTAGCATACACAAACAGCTTCCTGCACAAGAAACATCGATCCAACTCACCGGAATGCCATTGTGGTCATGCAGAAGAAAATGTTTGCCATATTCTTTTGGAGGGCGTTATATACGCGAATGAAAGAGAAAAATTAAAGAACAAATTAGCAAGTTTGGACAGACGGCCCCTCACAATAAAGAAACTACTTGGACCATGGCCTGAGATGCATTTCCAGAAAAAGGCAATAATCTTCCTGACAGACTCTTTAGTGCAGACCGGACTGGACAAGCGCCTAAGACTGACAGCCAGAGATGGGTATTATGTAAAATGTGGTCATGTATATACTGACATTAGATTAGGAAGGTGTGCGTGTAAGTAGTTTATGACTGTGTGAACTGCGTGAAGAAAAGTGTGTATTGGCATGTTATTTGAACTGGTTTCAGTGTGCTATTATGTGTTTTTTTCTTTTCAATATTGTTAATTTTTGGGTACCGTTCTGTATTATTTGATTTTTCGCTGCAGAACTTTGTGTTATGGAGTACTCGAGGCAATAGGCACCTCAACCTCTCCACAGCAAAACAGTTAAAACAGAACAGAACAGAACAGACTCAGTGATGTCAAACCATGCTACAATACTTGCCTTCGGCTACAGTAGTTTAACCTCTGTTTTTTTATTTTATTACTTTCAAATACCATACCTGGAACACAAGCAGGAATACTGCACTATAGGGGGATTGCGCAGTGCTGCCACACCGGATGTGCGGGCCTGTCTGTATCAATGACTAGTGGACGGCGCGCACTATGCCAATGATAAGGCATGTGTTACGCGCTCCGCTGTCCACGTTTCATTTGATGTCGGTAGTACATTTTGCCTCCGGGTAGCACTAATTGATTAAGAATGGTGGCACATTTTGTGCACAATTTAGGGTGTTGCTAGCGGCAACCACCTTCGTTGCTGCCATCAGATAGTGCTGTATGGGGGAGAGCTGAGACAGCTTCGGTAGCCCTGAAGAAATGGTGTGAAGAACATGTCTCTTTGCAATCTGTTTAAGGTTGTCTGCAACCCGGTGCATATAAGGCACAAGCTCAGGACTCATGGTTGTCAACTCTTGCTCTACCCCGGTACCATGGCGTTCTGTCTCAAACTTCTAGAGGAGCGACTCCGCGACGACGATTAGGCACTTGCGAGGGAAAGCAGCCACGGATCAATAATTCAATCGGTCTTCAAAAGCCTTCTGCATATCGTGTCAGCATGACCTGGCAAGTGCAAGCTTCAACACGGCGTAGCTCTGGTCATTCATAGATTTTGAATGCACCTATTCACATGAGCGCAAGCCATTAGCAAATAAATCCAGCTGTTGGGACGGCCCTTTAGGGTAATTTACAAGTCCGGAAATTGCTGAAAGCCACAAACTAGCAATTCGTGTGCAAACAGCACTGATTTTTCGAGTGAGCAAAGTGTCGCAAAACATTCTTAAGAATGAACTGATATGTAGCAGCGATTTGGTGCTTTAAAATAACGAGAAATCCTCAGTGTATCGGAAATATTTGAACAAACTCCCGATTAAAATGTTAGTGTAAAAGGCAATAACAGAATGTTAGAACAAATTACACAAAAAGAGCAGGGACACAAGAGTCTATGCAAACAAATGCGTTCACTTTGAATATAAAAACTCTGTTTCTCCTATAGCGGTGGCTTTCACTTCGAACTTGATACGGGGCTTCCAAGATTTCACAACCCACGCCAGCGGCACTCCATGAGGCAACATCACTACTGTCGTCTATGTAACTTCGTACGCAGAAAAACAATTCATCCTACATGTCATTAAAAATACTCCCTCAACATCAATTGAGAACAAGTACCCTATCAAAAAATTCAATTTAAGCAAGTTGGTGACGAATAACCAATTCTCATTCCAAAACGCACCTTTTCTGGCAACTGAGCTTAGCTGCTTGATTAAAAATTGACTAATCTTATTATGCGTCTTTATTACCAATCGTCCTGAAAGAAACACCTGGCTTGGGGGTCTCGGCTGATAGTACACAAGAAGGACATTTTCTTGATAGTTGCCATAAACAGTGCAAGTTTTAAAAGTTCATGTCCTTACTATTGCTTTGTTGGCTCTTATCTTGATGATGTTCTTGTCGGCCTCCTGTTTTGCGTTGTAATTGTACGAAGCTGGATGTATCGCCGCAAAACGACCACTTTTAACCAGTTGAAGCAGGAGAAATCGCTGCACATGAACGACGCAACAGCTGTCATAGGATCCCTATCACTTTTAAGGCATCTTATAAGGAGCAGATCCTAACAGCAACATCGGCTCTTTGGGCAGTTTTTCAGTTTCTAGTAAGCAATTCATGAGCCAGCATTGATGCATCACGGCTGAATTTCGGACTTTTGTTGAGTACGCAACGAGGATTTTTTGAAATGTGGACATTTCCTAGCATGTAATTCCATCCCTCAAGAAGCGTCCTTGTCCAGCCAGAGAAGGCCTCGCTGTGCCGAGAAACGATCGCATTCCAGAAATTGTAAACTCTGTACTCAATAAAGATCCAAAATTTGGCCGCAAACTTCATTGTGGCCTGCAAATCACTGCCAATGACCAGATGAGTTGGCGAAAAAGCTGGGGTGAAAGTTAAAGACCGTTTCTTACAAGCTAGTGTGGAAGCTCTAGACACAACTGAGAAAAACCTTCCGTTCTGCTTAACAAGAATACTACTGCAGCTGTTCAGTCATTATTGAAGTAAAACAATTGGTTTAAGCTTCACGAGGATGGAAGCAATGACTTTGTGCCAAAGCCGTAGATTCATACATTATCACGGCACAATGGGCAGTCAATAAGAACTTCAAGATAAAAGCCAGCGAAAGAAGTATAAAAAGCAAAGTGGTGGCTCCGTACGTGAACTTGGCACCTGCAAAACTTCCACGGTGTAATGCAGCTAGTAAGAATGCCGTTTCTGTGTTTTTCACGGCCAAAACAGATGAGCAAGATGTTCCTCTGACGATGACTGCGTGAAAAAGCTAAGTGGTAAGATATGATAAGTCAGCTTTTAATGAAGCAGCTAGGCTCGGTTGTCCTAAAAGACCCGTTTCGGACTGATAATTTCTTGTGTGTCGCCAATTTTTATTACACGAATCTTTCGGTAAGTTTTTCACTCTAGAATGAAGCTGAGGACCTACTTCATTCTGCTACACGCAATAAACTGGGTCGCAGGGCAGGTTGCATAAAACAAAGTGGTCATGTCCTCTCTAATGCTGCGGAAACAATTTTAGCTTTGATTTTGCTTCTTCAGTTTTTAGAGCAAGCCGATCCGTATCAATGCAAGTTCTCGTGTGTATTGGCAAATTATTTGCATAGGCGTTTGCGTCATTCCTGCAGTGTGAAATTTGTTCTTCTCTTTTATTGACTGTTCTTCGCAACACAAGTTTTAATGATAAAGAACGTTTTGAAAGTTTTAAGATACATTGACTCTCTATATTATTTTAATATGACTAACCACCAATACATATAAACACGTTGTTAAAACTCCTGGGAACGTTAAGAGTAACTGAACAGTAATTTGAACAGTAGCTTATTAGCGTTTTCCTGACTCGGGAATGCATTCATGTGCTCACGCAAGGCACCTCCTTGTCGCTCTTTGCAGTTCATAGATTTACACATTACACTGCAGAGCTGTCACATCTCGTGGCGCTACTCACCTACGTATACACACCAAAAACATGCTGCCGTACAATTCATAGCATGTCAAACTGGTAAAACGACCATAGCTGCACATTATGCGGAGTCTGCACTTCAAAGGTCGTGCTCAGCCTATATGCAGAAAGCTTTTAAAAACAAATAGGAGTGGCTGTCCTCGGCGGGTTTCCCTGACATGCTCCGCGTTGCCGTCGCCAAGCCATTCTTCCAGAATTTAAGGAGTCAACATCATAGTACCGGCATAAAGCAAGAGTGGAGAACGGTGAGAGTAGGACTCGTGATTACATGCACCGGGTCGCACACCCAAAAAAAGGTTGCAAAAAGACATAGCGTGCCGAATTTCGTATTATATGTCGCTGAAACTGTCTTATCTATATATGTGCCCGTATATTATCAGATGGGAGGAACAAACGTGGTAGCCTTCCGTATTGAAACCTGATGACTGAGAGACGTCTTCCTTGTCTGTGCTGCGAACATCTTGAAAAAATCTTGCTTGGATTGTTTGAAATTCGTCAAAGCTTGCTGTTTCCACGGAGCATCCGCGAGCGACTTTGTGACATGAGTGTTCATCTACACTTTAAGCTCCATACGGAGCTTAAAAAAATTAACCGAGAGCCTGCGCCGAACAAAAATGTACAGCGGTGACATGAAATAGCCCCACCCCGTTCAGTGAAGCGGCGTTGCACTGATAAAAATTCATGCCCAGAAACCTATGGTTAACGCGCCAGTTTTGTCTTATGAACGTTAAATATTGATGAAAGCTAAACGATGGCCAAACTTTTATCGGGTTATATTTTTTTATAGATTTAGTGTCGTTTGTTCTGAAAGATCTGTACGAGTACTAAGGTGACGAATTGTATAGAATGGTGAATTGCAGCGCTTAACGCAAACCATTCGGCGTATCCCACATATCTTGGAAACATATGCTATAAAAAGCATGCAGAGGAAAATTAATTGTGTTGTAGTTAGGAAAACCTAACAAAAGGACGCTAAAGGTACGTACAAATGTTGTAAACACAGACTTATGTTAAAGAGTTGTGCATGATTGATATAACCAGTTGTTTGCTTTTGCGTAATGATGGCAACAGCAACATCAATATTTGTAACCTCAGAAGGGGTTAGCTGATATGTAGCGCTTCTGCTCGCAAAAATTATAGCCACGGATAATGCTAGACGAATAAAATTCAATGAATCGCACTTAACTACACTTATCGTTAACCCGATGTGACGGCTGCATCATAGGAGTACATACGTAATATTTCCAAATTTCCTATTCAGCATTGCTACTACAACTGACGTTTTACAAGCGCTACGCCTGAATAGTGTCTTATTGCAAGGCAGTATCGAGAGCTGGTATTGCTCTGTAATAGAGTGCTTGATAGAGACGCGTATTGGTTGACCTTGAGATTTATTATTCGCATTTGACGGGCCAACGCTGCAAGTTGCAGCATTATTCTTGAGGTTCTTGCGTTAGGGTTACCAACGCCAATGTCTTAACTTTACCTTCCTGGGCAGACCAACTGTCAATCGCCGCCGCTACCCGTGGTTTACAAGTATGCGCCACACGTGTCCGGCTGAAAAGTTTGGATGACGTACAAGACAAAATCGTCATAATTTTCAGTTCATGACCAGCAAATCACTTCGTGAGACCAAGCTACCCTCTCACACTAGATCTGGTTTAGCTCAAGTTTAGCGGGTGCCCACGAGAGTGCCTAGACTCCTGTACGGTTAGGCCTCGTACATCAGCTTTACATACGGCAGCTTTAAAAATGTCATCGAGGCTACAACTGCGGTTGAAATTTATGAAGCCCTCTCGGTCTCACCTCCGAAGGTCCTTCATCTCGGATTTCACGGCACCAAAATAATGTGTAAAAAACACAAGCCGCCATCCACATGGCGAAGCCCACCCATCGATCTTGTTCTTGTTTTTGTTGCCATTCACTAGTGGCTCATATGCACTGTGGGAGATCGGCCTCTTCTTGCTTGCTTGATCCTTTCTTTTGTAGCTCTCCCCCACTGAGGGGGATCGGCCAAGAAGCTGGTGGTTAATGCAAGTCAATACCTTTTCTTTATTCCGTGTTCTGCTCTTAACAATATTGTTACCACTCCTCGTCTTATACATAATTTTCAATAGCTATAGTATGACTATATTTGTTTTGCTACACTTCTGGTTGAACTTCAGGCATTTATATCACCTTGTTCTCTCTGTCTCTCTTAGCGCTACCATTTATTCGCGTAATGCGTACTTTGCAATGCAATATCTCTCTCATGAATCAGCAGAATAGGTAGACAATAACAAGGGCCACGGTGTTTCGTGGTAAGAAACACACAATAAACACCTACAAGAAGACAGTTGTCAAACGTTCAACCATAAAAAATTCAAGTTAAAATTTCAACCGTCCAACTTGCATTGTTGTAGGGCTAATATAAAACTTAGTTTTGCCGCTTGCTACTTCACCACACTTTTCTTATATAGCGCATCATGAAAATTTGTAGATTCGTAGTTCTTGCGCTATTATCTGGTTCTTTGATCTTGCTGTCCAGGATTCAGGACTATCAGTTACTTGCACTGGGACCTACACATCAAAGAGGATGCAAACATTTCCCAGCACCAAAGAACTATATGAGTGGACAGCGTACCCGCGCTCCGCCGTATCGTCCACCACCTCGCTATCCTCCAAGACGTGAGCACATTATTTTTGTTTGTTTATAAAAGTAGCAAGAAGGGAAATAACTTCTGCATTAGTTTTGCTCAAACTATATTGCAACGAAGATGCGCGAGCGTACGGGAGGCGGAAGAAGAAGAGTAGTGGAGCCTGTGCATGGACGGTGTGGTTGGGTGAACCGGACTAGGGTTGTCTCAGAAGTACGCTGCTCTTTCGCTACTCAATTTCGTCTCATCTCTAAATAAACACATTCACTTGTAACAATAATATTTGTGACTGCGGAAATACGCATTACAGACCATTAGGCGAGCCGGCAATCGGACGTAGAAAGCAGCTCTCCAACGGATAAAGACGCGATAGATATGTATTTGGTATTCGTGGCACACGCTGTCATCGTCACCTTTTTGTCTTGGTATGCTGGAGCTAAATGCGCTTTGCAAGTCAGTAATATGCGCCAGTGAACAGCGCTCACCCCTTTATCATGTCTGTGGCACGCTGACTAATCCTCGCGTGGTGCAGTCACATGTGATTGCTGGTGGGATATTAGTTAGGGTACATTTCTTCTTGAAGGTTTAATTTTTCCACATGTGTCAAGAATATCAGGCTTTTTTAAAGGAAACAATAATGCTAGCTCAAAATATAGGGCGCTAGTGTTGCCGCACAAAAATGTCATTGAAAACTCTCACAATCACGCACCCACGCACAATTGAGTTTACACGCATTCAGGAAGCAGTCACGTAAGCGGTTTATCTGTCTGACTCCAATTGGGTTGAACGCTGCAACGATGCCACTAAACATATGTCAAACCGTAACATGTGGCATCTCTTCAGGGTCTTCATCAACCCTAGCCAAACGCGCACAGAAACGCAAAAGCACCTTTAACGCGCACTTAACGCCTACGCGGGTGACGCGGTTAAATTGGCACAGGCCCTTAGAGATAAATACCTCTGTGGCCGGCAGGACCCCATCGGTCCAGCGTTTTCATATGCGAACTTGAAGAACGCAGACTTGGATCGTTGCTGTCAACTCCATGATCTGAAGGCGGTGGCCCTATCCAAAATGAAGCGAGGAATAGCGCCGGGTAGGAATCGAGTAACGGTTAGGCTTCTAGCCAACCTCCTATACCCCGCATATCATCAGCTCCTCGACTACTTCAATGAAATTTGGAAGGGCATGAACCACTGCCAATTGACTGGAAAATGGCTTTGGTAATGTTTATTTCCAAACTAGGCAAATTTATAAACATCAGAAATTTACGACCAATTTCCTTAACATCGTGTGCGGGGAAGCTTATGAAAACGATGGTTAAGGATCGGCTCTCCGATTACCTTGAGGCCCGGCATAGCTTTGATGACACTATGTACTGTTTTCGACCACATTGCTCTTCTCAGGACATACTCATTCAACTCAATCGTGACGTTATTGAGCCGACAGAGCATCCCAGCATTGACAAGGTAGTCCTCACCTTGGATATCAGAAGCTTTTGATAACGTCACCCAAGAACTCATTTTGACCCATTTGTGCTAAACAGACTGTGGACATAATGGTTACAGGTGCATCCGTTAGTTCCTGACGGAACGGCAGACGTACCTCTGCACCCAAGAGAGCGAGCATGGCCCATATTCTCTGGGTACTCGAGGAACACCACAGAGAGCGATCTTCTCTCCCCTTCTGTGTAACCTCGCCATGGCTCATCTCTGCCCAATGCTGAAAGATATTCCCGGCGTACGCCACGCTATGTATGCCGATAATATCACGCCGAGGGCAACCCAGGGTTCCCTTGGCAGCATTGAGGCCAGCCTGCAACAAGCAGAGTCAGTCGTGAAGGACTACGCCCGTCGCTGCGGCCTCGAATGCTCTCCAAATAAATCTGAGTTTGTACACCTTCACCCAAAGAAACAACGGAAATCACAATTTTTTGCGCACCGGGCCAATCCTGAAACGCGAAGAAACCACGGCTTGGGGATTTTTATACACAAGAGCAGAAAAACTGACACAACCCTGCGCAAGCTACGTATGGTCGCAGATCAGGTAGGCCGCATGGTTTGCTGGATTTCGAAAAAGCGAGGGGGTCTCAGAAGCCGCGACACTCTGCACCTCATAAACGCTTCCATGACCAGTCGAATTCTGTATTTGACACCCAACATAAGTTTGCGCCAATGTAATGTAAACACACTTGAATTCATTCTCCGCAAGGTATACAAGCGCGCCTTCGACCTCCCAATCTCGGCGTCTAACCAACGCCTTGCAGATTTGAGTATGAACAACACGTACGGAGAACTCAAAGAGGCGCATCTCAACAACCAGTACCTGCGGCTTACCCAGTCACACGCTGGGACATGTCTCTTACACCGCCTCCATATAACCTACACCTATTAGGCAGAAGAGTGGACCATGATCCCCGAGAACTGGCGTAGTGCGTTGGTTATTCAGCCTCTGCCCCCAAACATGGGCAGGGATACTCATGAAAGCAGGAGAACTGTGCGGGTTACAGCCTTGCAAGCACGCTATGGGTCCCGTTTTGGAGTATTCTAGACAGACGCGTCTTGCCATCACCACAGGGGGGGGGGGGGGAGTACACGGCAGCTGTAGTCTATCAAAACGTTCCCGTTAAAGTACTCACTTTTCGAGCCCTAGACATTACTCACGCGGAGGAAGTCGTCATAGCTCTCGCCGCAGCGGACCCCGCATCTAAAATGATCAATACCGATTCGTGGAGTGCGCGTCGAAATCTTACAAAAGGTCGCATCACCAGTCTCGTTGCTCATATCCTGAAGGGGTGTTTTTATCAAGACCGCCCAAACACCCACTCAATGATCTGGACGCCAGCTCACGCTGGACTAGTTGGTAACGAGCCTGCCGATGCCTCAGCCCGCGCACTTGATTACCGGGGACCTCCTCGGCCTTCATCGCCCGACGATTCGGAACCTAATCCGGTCACCTCTTTTCGCGAAATTACAGCCATGTACAGATCGAACAGGCTCCGACTTCCGGCCCCGGCGACAGGCCTAAATAAGGCGGATGAGTGCTGGCTGTTACGCCTTTACACCAACGCAGTATTGCGCCCGGCAATACTTAGGCATTTCAATCCGGCTTTGTCAGGGGAATAGCCACACTGTGATCATCCGCTTGCTGATACTTTCCACATGATGTGGGCATGCCCATCTAACCCGGCGGTCCCCCCAATCATTTTTGTTACGAACACGCCGGGACTGCGACTGGGTCAGGACAAACGCTTATCGCCATAGCGCGGGTTAATGTAAGGTTGCGCGAGAAGGGTTACGTTGAAGGGAAGAAGAAGCAGTGGTGATAACGGCGGCTTCGGCTGGCGTGACGTAACGGATACATCATTACGCCTCCCCTATGGTGAGTAACGGTCTGGGGGTTTGCGTTGCCGGCCTGGGCGACGCAGCGCCGGAGTTGAGGGGCGCCCGGTGATCTCCGGTAACGTTGTGCGAGGGGGGTTACGTTGAAGGGAAGGAGAAGAAGCAGTGGTGATAACGGCGGCTTCGGCTGGCGTGACGTAACGGATACATCATTCCGCCTCCCCTACGGTGAGTAACGGTCTGGGGGTTTGCGTTGCCGGCCTGAGCGACGCAACGCCAGAGTTCAGGGGCGCCCGGTTATCTCGCTTCTTGTTGGCACTCGCATCGGTGTTCTTCCTGCTAGGGTCCCGCCGGCAGTTTCGAGGCACCAAGAGTCACCAGCTTCTCCCTGGTCGTGCTCCAACTTCCATGGCTTCACCTGGTCGCTGTGGTGCCGAATGGTTTCCGCCTCCGGACCATGGACATTCACCAGGCCGGCTCCGTATGTCGATGTAATGCTGGCTGAAGTCCACGGCTCGCCTCGCCCGAAATTCCTCACCCAGGCTGGCTCCTCGGGCTGCCAGCCATCGAGGGGGGATGGTCAACTGGCAAGGACGGAATGTACACTTCGTTGTCCAGCCTGGAGCGAAGATGATAGCCCATTAGGAGTCGTGCTGGTCTCTGGCCCCCGGCCTGAGGCGTCCTGCGGTAGCTGTGTGAAATCCTAGCCAGGCGGGTTTTCAGTGACCCTTGAACATTCTTCTTCAATGAATACTTCACAGTACGAACAGCCCACTTCGCGAGACCAATGAACGGGGGGTGATACGGTGCTATTCGGAGGTGTACTATGTTATTCAGCTACGTGAAGGTGTTAAATCTCCAACTCGTAAACTGAGCACCATTATCGAATACCAGCGTCCGGAGCAACCCGAATGTACTGAACAAGGTGCGCAGAGCCTCTGTGGTGGCGTTTGTGGTAGAACTCTTCAAGGGTATCGCTTCTATCTACTTAGTATGTAAATTCACCATAATCAGTAGCATGTGACCATCGATCGGCCTCGCAAGATTGATATGCAGCCTTGACCAATGCTCATTCATTTCCTGCCTTGCAACAGGGGGTATCTTTGGGGGCATGGTGCAGCTTGGATGCAACTGGTACAGGACTTAACCATGTGCTCAATGTTATCATCGATCTGGAGGTACCACTTCAAGGAGCGCCCTAGCCGCTTCGTTCAACTGATTCCCTGATGAGTATTGTGCAGCAGACGTAACATTACTGCACGGGCACTCTTAGGGACGACCACTCGATGGCCCCAGTAGAGAAGCCCATAACTCCCCGTTATCTGAGCTTTCCGGTTGAAGTATGGCATCAAGTGCTGGTCCTTAGGCCCCAAATGTTTGGCCATCCCTCCTGCACACATTTTCGAACCTTTGCTAAATCGTCATCAAGCTCCGTGAGAGTGCCCAGTTGCTTCGCAGACATGACACCATCATTGAGGTTCTCCGTGAGCAGGACATACTCACTGTCTACAGTCTCTTTCTGCGTCTCTGGCTGGGAAGTGGCTGACGTGGGGAGTCGGCTGAGGGCATCGGCTGGAATGTTGTCTTTCCCGGGCTGGTGTTTGATGACGTAAGCGTATGCGCTCAGCAGGAGGGCCCATCGCCAGATTCGCGCCGCAGCCATCAAGGGAACTGGCCTGTCTGGGTGAAATA